CACCGTTTCATTCACAACACCTGTCCCATCAACCAGGAATCAGAAACACTTTAATAATCCCAGGGAGGGATTACTTTAGTTACATTACTCCGTCTGTTATAGAGTGACTATAGGACCAGTTTGATAGAACATCATTTCATACCATATATATAATTAGGGGGTCCTCGCTCCATCTCACCATTAGTTAGGGGGTCCTTGGCCTGGAAAATGTTGAAGACTCCTGCTATAAAAGCCTAATATAACTTGGTTTTTGTTTTTCCTGAAGAGTCTGATTGTTTTTGAACAAGGTTCATCTTTTGACCCATTTGGGTCTCATCAGGGTTTTACTGATGGATCTATTGTTTATTGAGGAGGAACCGTTTTAGTTCCATTAAAGTTTTATTTTAAAATAGTTTTCTAAGGTTAAACTGCTCTGAAAAAGTTGAGCAGCGTTTTGTAGCCATCATCTACCAAGCCTCTGAGGCCAGATCAGAGCCTCTGCTTTTATACGGAGGTTTTAATGAAGGAGTTAAAGTCTGCCTCCTTCTGCAGATGTCTTCATAGTCTCTCGCGGTCGGTGCAGCAGCTGCGGACCAGCTTTCACGATCACGCCGTGTGGAAGCCGCTCATGAAGGTCAGTTTGGATTCACCTCCATCCGTCTCTCACTCTCTGGCTCTATCTGCTGAAATTAAACACTAACGTCTGTTTGTAGCTGCTGCAGAACGCCCCCGATGAAGTGCTGGTCATGGCTTCCTCAACACTATGCAACCTGCTGCTGGAGTTCTCACCAAGTAAAGAGGTAAACGGACCGACCGCCTGCTGAGGGGGCATCCCTCGCTCTCTTAGCGGATAGCTCAAAGCTGGGCACATGTCACCTGGTTTGCAGGAATGTTTCTAAATCTGCTTCTGATCATTTGAAAAAAACAAACAAAAAAAAAACAATAATTACATTTTGATCAGGTTGAAGTTGATGTTTAAATAACCTCGGTGTTTCCAACAGCCCATCCTGGAGTCTGGGGTGATCGAGTTACTCTGCAGTCTGACTCAGAGCGACAGCCCCGCTCTGAGGGTGAACGGCATCTGGGCCCTCATGGTGAGAACTTCACCTTAAAGGAAAAGTC